TGAGTCTAGGGGCCCGCCAGATATCCAGAGAAGCAGGTGCTAACCGGCATCTGGAATGTCAAAGAGAGCAGCAGTGGCTGTGTAGGTAGGACAGTTAAGCTCAGGCAAACGGACATCCCTAGTGTTTCCTGAGCCGTCCCTCCAAACAAAGCCATTTCCTAAGCAGCTGCACAGCCGTCTACTCCCTCCGTCATAAATGGCCTATAAGAGGCGGGCACACACCATCTGTCACATTTCAAGTTGGTTGCATTGGAAATAATTGTTATTTCCGTGGCCACATATAACGTTTAATTCAATAGTCTTTCATTGGCTGATCATTTTCAGAAATATTGAAATAAAATATAAAACAAATTACCAATTCATGATTCAGAATTTACAGGACAGAAAACTTTGATATCAAGATGACTCATAATACTACATGCAAAACTAAAAACATATCTTTGAAGATAATATCATTCATATAAAGAGATCAATGTACTGGTCAGATACATATCTGATGGTGACTTTTAAAAAATTAAATTGGTTCATTTTTTCCAGCAGTAAATTATACTTTTTAAAGACAGATTTCTTAGGCGATTTGGTGCAACCTTGTATCACACAAGTAGACAAAATTCTCTTCCAATTAGTTGTTCCATTTTGTACCTGGGAGAGTTAGGGAAGGGACCAGTGCTGTGGCATAGTTGGCTAAGCTGCCGCCTGCAGTGCCGGCATCCCACATGAGCGCCAGTTCATATCCCTGCTGCTCCTCTTCCAGTCCTGCTCTCTGCTATTACCTGGGAAAGCTGTGGAAACTGGCCGGAGTGCTTGGGCCCCTGCACATGCGTGGGAGATCCAGAAGAAAGCTCCTGGCTCCTGGCTTAAGAATGATACACCCAGCTCCAGCCATCTGGGGAGTGAACCAGCAAATGGAAGGCTTCTCGCTCTGTCTCACCCTCTCTGTAACTTTACCTCTCAAATCAATAAATAAATAATGTTCAAAATAAATTAGTGAATGATTCTCAAAGGACATGCAAAAGGAGTTATTACATTCATGTTTCTCATATTTATATAAAGACCTGAGATTTAATGTGTTTAGTTGTTTCCATGAGCTATGTGCCTGGTGCTACATACAGAGGACACAACCCCCCGGCCTCTACTGAAAACTCCCATGGCATAGCTGTGTTGTATAATTAGCACAGCCTAACAGAATCTCCCCCATTTAGTCTCTCATCACAAACGTGAAACTTGTTGCAAATTAATTGCTGGGTTGTTTCTTTGTTTCTTGAAGTCAACAATTCTGTCCCTCCTTGGAGGCTCCAAATGTTTTCCTTGGTCTCTTGGACCCACAGTGCCACTCTGTGCTATCATCGGCCTCCACAGATGCAGAGGTCCTACACGTGGGCAGCAGGAAATCTTTGTTGAGAGAGAAAGATGTTCATGGAAAAAGACTCACTTGAATCTGATCCTGACACCACACATTCTAAAACCATGATTTTTTACAAAGAAAACAAATGAACTTTGAAATCAAGACATTCTTTTAGGAAACACTTCTCAGCTCTTAGTAGCACTTAAATAAATAACTACTGTTGTATGCAATGCTAACAATATGCATTCATATTATAAACCATCAAGTTAATGATACTAGGTAATTTATCCAAAGTATGAGAGAGGACAAAATGTGTTTTTAATTCATTTATTTGAGAGGCAGAGATCTAGGGACAGAGAGAAAGATCTCCCATCTGCTGGTTCCCTCCTCAAATGCTAACAGCAGCTATGGGTGAGCCAAGGCCAAAACTAGGAACAGGAAACTCAATCCAGGTCTCCCGTGTAGGTGGCAGGGACCCAATCATTTAAGTCATCACTGCTACCTCCCATGAGGCACAATACCAGGAAGCTGGAACTGGGAGCAGAGCAGGCAATCAAACTCATGTACTCCAAATGGGACATGGTCATCTTAACCCACGTCTTAACCACTGGTCCAAATTGTCATCCCCACAAAAATATTTTTCAATGTGGAAGAGATTATCATAGAGCAACATCAAGTATCAAGCCCTGCTATCATTATGTTTAAACCATGTATTCCAAGAAGAGTACGCTCCTTTTCCATTAAAGCCGAAGTGCCAGATCACCTGACGAATTCACAGAAGAGTAATAATTAAACAAAATTAATTCTACTGCACCCCCAATCCAGGCAAGTGTTAGAAAACAGATTTCATGTCTAAGCACTACAGTGAGTGATGCAGCCATCTGGAAGCTAATTCTAAAGCTCTTAAAGTCACAAAGAAGTTTTGATTATCCTTAGGCAAATATTTTGCTGTACCCAAAGGTCTTGCTCATTCAGAGAATCATTCCTTTTAGTTCAAAGTTTCAGAAATTAGACACTCATACACAGAGGCGTGCATCAGTGGTACTCTGAGTTACGATCTGCACACAGAAAATGCACAGTGTGCATTTGCCTGGCATTCTGTGCCCGTGGAATCTTCTGGACCAAAACACACTCTAGCATGCTTCCTTGCGCTCTCACCCACCGCGTCATTGTCCCTCAGAGGGAGCTAGACTTTTGACCACCACCATCATGGTGAGTTGCACCTGCATCTGGATTTTGAATGAGTGGGATGCACTCCTCTGCATCTGATTTCTTTCACACAAGCATGTCTGTGAGATTCATCAGAGTGCTACACGCGCCAGCTTTTCTTCATTGCTCTATGCTCTTGAAAAACCTATCAACTTAGTTGTCTTTCCCACTGCTGATGGCTATTTGGTTGTTTCCAGATTCTCAATATCACAAATAATGCCACTTGTCAACACTCATTAGCTATGCCTGGTCTTGGGTTTCAGCTAGTTAGTTACATTGGCTTCAGCAGACAATGATGGACAGCTTCCCAAAGCAGTTATCAATGGTCCCTCCCACAACTCAGTGTGCTTTCTGCTGAGTATTTTTTTAAAGATTTTATTTACTTATTTGAGAGGTAAAGTTATAATGCGAGGGAGAGACAGAGAGAAAAGGTGTTCACTCCCCAAATGGCCACAATGACTGGAGCTGAGCCGATCTGAAGCCAGGAGCCAGGTGCTTCTTCTCAGTCTCCCTTGTGGGTGCAGGGGCCCAAGGACTTGGGCCATCTTCTACTGCTTTCCCAGGCCACAGCAGAAAGCTGGATTGGAAGAGGAGCAGCCGGGACTAGAACTGGCGCCCAGATGGGATGCCAGCACTGCAGAAGGAGGATTAACCTACTGAGCCATGATGTTGAATACTCTTGGTACGATGGATCCTTTTTGCTATTAAATTATATTTTGGGGGGCCAGCGCTATGGCATAAATAGGCTTAGCCTCTGCCTGTGGTGCTGGCATCCCATATGGGCACCAATTTAAGTCACAGCTGCTCCACTTCCAATCCAGTTCCCTGCTGATGGCCTTGGAAAGCAGTGGAAGAAGGCCCAGGAAGCTCCTGGCTCCTGGCTTTGGATCATCCCAGTTTGGACCATTGTGGCCATTTGGGGAATGGACCAGTGAATGAAAGATCTCTCTCTGTCTCTCCCTCTATCTATCTGTAACTCTGCCTCTCAAATATTTTTTAAAATTATACTTTTTGTTGACTGTATACACAATAATCCATCAATGTGTCTTTCTTTTAAGTTAAGATGATCCCTCAACAACTTGCAACTGTAGCACGTAGGATGAAGAAAGGAAATCCACAATTTAAAGCAATTGTCAAATGTAATATTGGAGTTTATTGAATAAATACACTTCAAAACAAAACATAATTTTAATAAATCTTGGAAATGTTTTGCATGGCACTCTGATCCTGGAATAACATGATGTAGATTACTAATGGTGAGGGTCTGATATTTACCATAGGGTTTATAATACAAAAGCCATGTATAAGTTTGAATGTAACTTTAAATAAGAGCCGATCAGATCTCTTGTCCTTAAATAAAATACAGAAAATATCAGATAATTATCCTGGCACTAGTGATCAGGCTAAAAGACAGGACAAACTGATTTTAATTTAATGGACCACTGCAGCTTCACCTTATATTAAAGGGCGAAAACATGATTTAAGTCATTCTGCTATTATATATGCAGAAATGTAGATTTCTATATAAATACATAAAGTTTCCTTGACTTTTTAGGAAGGTGAATGTTTTTGCAATATTTTAATATGGCCAGAAAGGAGACCATGGCTTTACTGAGCACCTGGGTCACTCCACACAAATCTGGCCCATTTCTAAAGGAAAGGAAAGGAGCAAGCCTGTGACGATGTAAACACAGGCAGAACACTGTAACTACAGGCAGCAGTGGTGTTCACCACAGGCCAGTCATTCAATCTTTCTGATAGTCCAATTTCTTTTGCTCTACAACATATATATATCTAGCTTGAAGACTATTTTCTCCATGAAGCTAGATGGTAACTCCTTGGTGCATTTCAGAGGGCTTCCATTACACATTTGTTACCTGGAAAGCATTTGGGGATCCCAGCATCCAAGCCCTAGCCCAGATTAAATCACAAATCCTGCAGGAAAGACACTGGCGGCACTGTCGCAGAGCTGCCATGTAAATTCACAGTGCACAGCCAAATTACAGATGCACTGAACAGACCCGTAATACTCACTAAACGTGCACATAGAGGGTGGGCACCATTTAATGGAGAAAGGTGTGATGACCCAAGTGGGAATCAGAATGGAGTCCTCACTAGCCCATGGCTACCTGAGATGTGTGCATCCTGGAGAAGGGGTGGCAACAGCAGGCGGTGGCAGTTCCAGTGAAAAATCTCCATCCCAACTTGGACAGGCTCTGCTACATCTCTACAGCGTCAGAAACATCTGCTTTATCTTCATGCCAATTTGCTTTATTCCTTTTCCTTTTTAATTTAGTGTTTGACTTTCAAATAATGAATGCATGCAAAGGAGAGTCTATTTTAACCTATGTGGAATCTTTCATCAATATAGATGTACAGAAATACAAGTTAAAAGGTTTCTTAGATTTCATAAATTCACCGTGCCAAAATTATTAGACCAATTTACCTGCACAGGGAAGGACATCAGTCTTCATTCCCAAACACTCTGAAGATAAATTGTCATCATTTAATCCTTTCCATGAGAGCTCTCCTGTTCTATAATGTGAAATGCTGAAAGTATATAAAATGCAATTTTTCTGAGTTGTCTCTAAAAAGATATTATCACATCTAAATTTTTACAAGCCCTCCAAGACAACATACCTTAATATTCATGCCTAATTTAATAAATATGCATGCTTAATTCAATTTTTTGAATGATTAAATTCCCAGAATCAAAGAATTCTCAGGAAAAGTATTGTGCTAACCTCATTATTTCAAGTTGTTCAAGCAACTCTGTCTAAAATACAAATAATTTTTGAATTTTATTCTTTTTGAGGGTTGCTGTAGAAACAGGGTGATGGCAAGTGAGGTGTGATGTTACCATGTTCACAAGACATCATGGTTTTTCCACTGTCAGTCCTCGTTTTCACTTCAATATCTGTGGTTTAACAGAAGATAATGGTTGTAAAAATAAAAGGTGAACTGAAGTATTGCCAGTGAATCTGATGAACCTATTCATCAAACACTGATGATCCAACAGAAAATGCTCTCTATGTTTCTCGGTGACAGAGATAACTGCCTGGACTCCACTTTGTACTTTATTTCTTGGCTTCTGTAAAACTGATTTGTATTGTTACACAAGGGCTACCTCAAAACTCCTGCAGTTATAAAAGTTTCTTTTTTTTAAAAAAAAAGATTTTATTTATTTATTTGACAGGTAGAGTTATAGACAGTGAAAGAGACAGATGGAGAGAAAGGTCTTCCTTCCATTGGTTCACTCCCCAAATGGCTGCAATGGCCAGAGCTACCCCGATCTGAAGCCAGGAGCCAGGTTCTTCTTCCTGGTCTCCCATGCAGGTTAGGGGCCCAAGCACTTGGGCCATCTTACATTGCTATCCCAGGCCATAGCAGAGAGCTGGACTGCAAGAGGAGCAACCAGAACTAGAACCCGACACCCATATGGGATGCTGGCACCACAGGCAAAGGATTAACCTAGGGTGTCACGGCACTGGCCCCAGTTATAAAAGTTTTAAAACCAAGTCTGCTGAAAGCCAGAGTGGTCCAGAGAAGTAATACAGCTCATTTAAGTTTTAATTCCATCGATGAAGAAATTGAGATTGAAATAATTTAAATCATAACCTCTTAGTCATGGGGCTGAGATTAGCACCCAGGTCTCAGGAGTACCAAATCCAGAGTTTTCCATTTATCTTCTATTATGCCATGCTATCTCCTTGCATGACTGAGTTAAAACAAAGAAAAAATAAAGGTGAGATACTTTCAGTGGGTGAGATCAACTGCAGCAAGCAGAAATTGAAGGAATTTAATGTAGTCAATACTTCTGAAAAAATTGCCTGAAAATAATTTTCCTGTGAATTAAACCTCTCAAATTCAGTAAATCATTTAGACTGATTCAAAGGATTATTCCAGGGCTGCTTTTCTTTAAAATAAAAAAAAAATGCCGTTTGAAATGAATTGCTTATAAATGGGTACAGCAAGTAAAATACACTTAATGAGTACCTACATTTCAATTATTATTTATTTTAAAGATTCATTTCTTTTTTATTTGAAAGACAGAGTTATAGAGACGGGGGTGGGGCGGAGAGAAAGAGAGAGCAATCTTGCTACCACCCATTGGCTCACTCCCCAGGTGGCCACAATGGCCAGGGCTATGCAGGCTGGAGCCCGGAGCCAGGAACTTCATACAGGACTCCCCTGTGGGTACAGGGGCACAAACACTTGGGTCATCTTCTGCTGCTACTTTCCCAGTGGATTAACAGGGAGCTGGTTCCCAAGTGGAGCACCCAGGTCTCAAACTCGTGCCCATATGGGATGCTGACATCACAGGTGCTGGCTTCACCTGCCACTCCACAACACTGGCCCCAGTAGTATCAACATTTTACTAAGAGCCCTGGGAACCTGAACATTCACGCAAGTTTAAGAAATATGGCTGCCTTCTCTGGCCCCACCTAGAGAAAGAGATAACAAGTGCAATTGGGTCAGCAGCTTTCATTGATCAGACCTGGAAGTTGAGACCAGCCATCCCTAGAAAGATCTCATAGCTGGTTGGAAGCTGAATTAGAATTGATGCAATCCAAGTTTACTATTTCAGATCCCCATACAATACTGACTGCTCCAGCAAATCTATTCCTCCCTATTGACAGGACAAGCAGGGGAAGCTATCTAAACCTCTTTCCAACAAGGTGTCTTCCATGCTGTGACATTTCAGTTTCTGCTGCTTTTAAAATGCTTTTTATTTTCCATTTATCTTGGGGGTAAATCTGCAGGATGTGATTCTAGGTTGTAGGTTCTCTTAATTTTTGGAACATTCAATTAAATGTCTTTTTTTCTTCAGTAATTGCCCTTACAAAGTTAGACACAGGGGTGGGTATTTGGCGCAGCAGTGAAGGTGCAGGTGCGGAACCCACTTCCCATACAGGAGTGCTTGGGTTTGCGTCCCTGCTCTGTGTGCACCATGTGGGGCAGCAGATGATGGTTCAGTAGCTGGGTCTCTGCTCCCCACATGGGAGACTCAGTTTGAGTTTCTAACTGTCAGGTATTTGGGGACTGCACCGGTATGTATGAGCGTTCTCTCTGACTCTGTCTCTCAAAGGAACAGAACAAGCAATTTTTTTAAGTTAGATGTAGAGGAAGACTCTGGGGAGACAGTGCAGCAGGAAGCGCAAGGAGACTCTGTGTGTGTGTGTGTGTGTGTGTCCTCTATCACTCTACCTTTCAAAATAAACAGATGGACCAATCATTGCAAAAATTAGAGGCAATTAGGCCATGGCCTCATGGGGTTCCAACCGTAACAAAGGATCACTGTTATTCCAGTTGGGCCTTAGGTTATTTATTGTCAGAGTGGGTTCACACAGAGCAAAGTAACCCTTTGGCTTTGGCCTCTCTGCATGCACCCCCTTGCTCGTCTGCTTTTCTGCCACAGGGAACCCAGCACAAGGTCCTCACCAGAAGCCTAGCTGGTGCTGGTGCCCTACTCTTAGACTTCCAGCACCGTGAGCTACAGTAAGTCTCTGTTTTCAAGTTAGTCAGCATCTGGTGTCCTGTTACAGCAGCAGACGGTGGATTAAAGCACGGGGCCTCCTCAGTGAGATTATTACAAGATTTATCATCAGGAAATATGAAGGCCGGCAGGCACTGAGCAGATACATTCCAAGTGCTAAAGGATAAAACAACCAAGGAGCCTGTCCTTCAGCAATTAACGCACTCCCAGATGAACAAAACCCGAAGGACAGCAGTTTGACCGGAACTGTGCTGTGAGAAACGCTCGGGGTAGTTCCCCCTGGTGAAACAAAAGGCCTCTGCCTGGTGACTCAAAGCTGCATGGAGAAATAAAAAATCGCAAAGATAAATCCAGGAGTAATTACAAGAGCCAACAGCGAAACAAAGGTTTATAACTTCATTGTTTCTACATGATTAAAGAGACTAACATGTTAAAAACATCGTTACTATCAGAGCTAGTATTGTTGTAACTTTGCTTTGTAAGTCTGTATTTTATTTTATATATGATTTAAGAGACAAATGTATTTAAAATAACCATTAATTTGTGGGTTTGGGGCCCATAGCATACATAAAGATGTAATTTTGAGAAATCAACAACTCGAGAGGTGGGGGATTAATCTGCAAATGAGCAGTTTTTGTATGTCACAGAAGCTACGTTGCTATAATTCAAACTAGAGCACTGTAGCTTTAGGATATTAAATGTAATCTCCATGGTAACCAAAAAATATCTACAGAATGTACACAACAGGAAATGAGAAAGGAATTTTAATGCCTCAATGTAAAAACTGAACTAAACACAAAAGACGGCAGCAGGGTAAGGAACAAGGAACAAAATCTGTAAGGCATGGTGTGAGCAAATTTCAAAATGACAGAAACGCCTCCTTCGTTATAAATATTTACTTTAAATGTAAGTAGATTAAACTCACTACCTAAAAACGCAGGGATTAGAAGAATGGATTAGAAACATGATCCAACTAAATTCTATCTCAGGAGAGACTCACGTTAGACTGAAGATACAGGTAGCCTATACGTGGAAGAAGTACATTCCATGCCAGGAGAAACCAAAAGAGAGCAGAGATGAACATACAAATATCAGACAAGATAGACTTTATGACAAGAGTTATGAGACAAACAAGGATATCAGATCCTAATAAAAGTTTCAGCAGAGCAAGAAGATACAATGAAAAACATTAACAAACCTAATGAAAGACCATAAAATATATGAAGCAAAAACTGAAAGAAATGAAGAGAGAAATAGACAGTTATGCAATGATAATTAGAAACTTAAATGCCCTGATTAGAATGATAGAACATTCAGACAGAAGATAAGGAAACAGAGGACCCAAACAATAGAATAAACCAACCAGATCTGAAAAACAGAAAATATTCTACCTAATAACAATAGAGGGCCAGTGCCATGGCTCACTTGGCTAATCCTCCACCTGTGGCGCCGGCACCCTAGGTTCTAGTCCCAGTTGGGGCGTCGGGTACTAGTCCCGGTTGCTCTTCCAGTCCAGTTCTCTGCTGTGGCCTGGGAAGGCAGTGGAGATGGCCCAAGTGTTTGGGTCCCTATACCCGCATGGGAGACCGGGAGGAAGCACCTGGCTCCTGGCTTCGGATCGGCTTAGCACCAGCTATGGCGGCCATTGGGGGAGTAAACCAAACAGAAGGAAGACCTTTCTCTATGTCTCTCTCTCACTGTCTATAACTCTCTCTCTGTCTCTCTCTCTTTCTCTCTCTCTCTCACTGTCTAACTCTGCCTGGCAAAAAAAAAAAAAAAACAACACACAATAGAATGCACATGCGAAATTCTTGAACAGAGTCTGTATGCTAAACCACAACTTAAATCTTGAGAAAATTAAAGATGAAAATATCACACAGAATATCTTCTCCAGCCACAGTGGGATTAAATTAGAATTCAGTAACAGAAGTAAAACTGTAAAATTCACAAATTTCTTTAAATTAACACCAAGAGGGATCCAGGAAGCAAGCACAAGGAAATTTAGAAAATGCTTAGAGAAGAAAGCTTACACAGCATAACAAAATGTTGGGTGGTTTGAGGTAAATGTGTACCTACAAATGCTTGCACTAAAAATAAGATCTCAAAACTAGCAGCCCAACTTTTCAACTTATCTAGGAAGAATAAAACTCTGTTTCCTGGTGATATTCTATATGTAGAAATTCCTAGGAATTCCAGAATAAACTGTTAAGAACTACTAAGCAAATTCATCAACATAGCACACAGTACTTCCCACCGTCATTCTGTAATGAAAATTTTGAAAAACAGCTCTATTTTTAATAGCATGCAAAGAATACAATACTTAGAAATAAACCAAGGAATTTAAGGACCTATATAATGAGAACTATAAAACATTGCTTTAAAAATTTAGAGACTACACAAACATAGAAACCCATCCCATGTTCATGGATTGGAATATGTAATTTTGTTGGGATATTAATATAATCCAAAGTAATCCAGATAGTCAATGCAATTTCTATCAAAATCCCTAAGTGTTTTGTATAGAAATAGAAAAACTCATACTAATATTCATATGTATTTTCAAAGGATCCTAATAGCTAAAACAATATTGAAAAAAGAAGAATCTTGCAGGATTCCCATTTCCTGTTTCCAAAACCTACTGTAAAACTAGTTATCAAAACAGTATGGCAATGACAAAAAGACAGATAAATCAATGCCAATGAAACAGGCCGCCTTTGTTCCTGCATCCCAAATGGATGCTGGTTTGAGTCTCCACTGCTCCACTTCTGATCCAGCTTCCTGCTAATGCACCTTGGAATGCAGCAGATGTCCCAAGTTCTTGGGCCCCTGCACCCTCGTGGGAGACCTGGAAGAAGCACCTGGCTCCTGGCTTCGAATCTTCCCATCTCTGGCCATTGTGGCCATTTGGGGACTGAACCAGTGGATGGAAAATCTCTCTCTCTGTCTTTGTCTTTCTCTGCCTCTGTCTCTGTCTCTCTCTCCCCCTTTCCCTCCCTCCCTCCCTCTTTATTTCTGCAGATATTGCACAGTAAAAGCATGTTTTATTGAAGTAAAACTGAATAAGAAAGATTTCATACAGTTACGATATACAAAGTGCTATCTTGCTATATGTGTACGTGAAGTGATTTCCTTGGTCAAGCTAATCAACTCATCACCACTCCCTGCTTGGCTACCACTGTGAGTTGTTTGTGATGTGTGCATTGTCTGTATTGTGCATGTTGTGTGTGTTTTCTGATGTGTGATATGTGTGTAAGAGTGCTGTATTATATGGTGTCTTGAGTGTGCTGTATGTGTATGTGAGTATGGGGTGTGCCTGTGTGTTATATGTGGAGGGGGTATGTTGTGTGTATGTGCTGTGTGGTATGTGTGTTGTGTGTTATGTGTGGTATATGTCTACATGTTGTGTGTGTGGAGTGTTGTGTGTGTATGTGTGCATCTGTGTGTGGTGTATGCGTATGGGGTGTGTCTGTTGTATTGTGTGTATGTGGTACATGGGTGTGTGTGATGTC